ATTCTATGCTATTACTGTTGAATTCTTTTCTATTGTTGATGGAAGTATAGTTGCTGTATTTTGTAGATATTTACTGTATGTCAGTATTTGGTTTGTCTTTGTCTTGATACTATATTACAGACCCCTTTTCTAAGGTTAAGGGAGGTATATTATCAGTTCTTATGGTATGTCAATAGCCAGTTTTGACTTTGACTCTATTATTGTTGCTGATTTTGTCAATATTGCCAGGGTGGCAGAGTTCTTGCTATTAATTGATTTTCTCCATATGCCTATATCTGGATTGTCTGTGTGTCATTAACAAAACTGTGGTCAATTCCCAGACAACTAGGTGCTGGGGGTACACTGCACCCTATTCTACCAAATTAAAGGAGAGGTTTGGATCTTGGGACAGAGGCAAGGCCTCTGATCAAAAAAGGAAAAGGTCAGCACATATTGGTTAAGGGAAAAATTCAACAGGAAGAGATAACAATTATAAACATATATGAACCAAACACCAATGGACCCAATTTCATACTAAACATTAGCACAACTATAGTGGGGTACTTCAATACCCCAGTGTCATAATTAGGTCAACTAGACAAACAAACAAAAAATCAACAAAGAAATATCAGAGTTGAACCAAACTTCAAACAAATGGACTTAGGATAAAGGATAAAGATACAGCTCTTGCTGGGCGTGGTGGCACATGCCTGTAATCCCAGCACTCAGGAGGCAGAGACAGGAGGATCACTGTGCGTTCAAGATCAGCCTGGGCTACATAGTGAGTTCCAGGTCAGTCTCAAACAAAAAAAAAAAAAAAAAAAAAAAAAAAAAAAAAAGGTGGGAATTTAGCTCAGTGGTTCCGGAGCCTGCTTTGCAAGTGGCAAGGGCCTGAGTTCAATCCCCAGGACCAAAAAAACCCCAAAAAACTAGCTTTTTTAATATAATGGAGTACTACTCTATTATAAAGAAGGATGAGCTTCAGACATTTATTGCTAAATGGATGGACCTTGAGACCATACTCTCAAATGAAATAAATGGGACACACATGTTTAAATACTGCATTGTTTCTGTGGTGTGAGAAAACAAAAGTAGAAATAAGGACTGAAAGGTATAATAGATGTTGGGAAACAGGAAGAAAGTGTCCAAATGGGAAGGGGAACAAGGGAGGAGAGAGGGAGAAAGGAAGGAAGGAACAAGAAAAAAAAAGTGAAGATAGAAGGGAAAAAATGGAAACAAAGCTTTTGTACATAGGGAGGGGAGGGGACTTGAAGGGGAAAGAGGATAAAATAAAATTTATTAAAACCAAACAAACAGGGATGGAGATTTAGCTCAGTGCTGCCACCACCTACCTTGCAAGAGCAAGGTCCTGAGTTTGATACCTGGTACCAAAAAACAAAACAAAACAACCAAAGTGGACTTAATAGACAACAAAATGTTCCACCTAATAATAGAATACATACTCTGCTCAAGAAGAATAGGAACTTTCTCCCAAATAGACTACACGCTAGGCAATAAGCACGCTTTGGTAAATGCAAAAGAATCATAATTATCCTACACATATTATCAGATCACAGAGCAATGAAACTAGAAATCAATGGCAAAAGAAACCACAGAAAGTCTGCAAACACATGGAAGTTAAACAATGCACTCTTGAGGGCTGGGGATTTAGCTCAGTGGTTCCGCCACCTGTCTCACAAGTGCAAGGTCCAGAGTTCAATCCCCAGTACCAAAAAAAAAAAAAAAAAAAAAAAAAAAAAAAGAGGCTGAAACAATGAACTCTTGAATAATCGATGAGACACAGGAAAAAAAAAAATCAAGAAAGAAATTAGTTCCTAGATTCAAATGATAATGCTCATAGAATATACAATATACCAGAATCTATGGGACACAATGAAAGCAGTCATAAGACAACAGTTTATAGCTGTGAATGCTCATTTCAGAAAACCAGAGCCCCCAAAAATAAGGATGCAGCTAAAGGTCCAATCTAAATCCAAAGCTAGTACAAGGAAGGAAATTATAAAGCAGAACAGAAATTAATGACATTAAGACAAAAAATACAAAGAAACAATTAATTGAAGAGCTGGTTCTTTGAAAGAATAAACAAAATAGACAAATCCTTATCAATCTTACCAAAAGAAGAAATGAAAAAAACCCAAGTCAATGCAGTTAGAAATGAAAAAGATAGGGTCAGGGATTTAGATCAGTGGTTCCGGTGCCTGACCTGCAAGCACAAGGAGCTGACTTTGATCACCGGTACCCCCCCCCAAAAAAAAAGAAAAAAAGAAATGAAAAAGATGAAATCACAATGGACATTGATAAAATCCAGAAGATTAATAACTACTTTGAAAACCTGTACTCCAATAAGTCATAACCAAGTAGGCTTCATCCTAGGGATGCAACGATGGCTCAACTTATACAAATCAATAAATGTAATATATCATATAAACAGAAGCAAGGACAGAAATCACATGGTCAGCTCAATAGATATGGAAAGTGCCTTTGAGAAAATCCAGCATCCATTCAATAAAAACAAAAATTCTGGAAAAAAAAGGTATAGAAGGACTTTATCTCAATATGACAAAAGCCATTTATGACAAATCTACTGCCAACATCATATTAAGTGAGGAAAAGCTGAAAGCTTTCCCTCTAAAATCAGAAACATGACAAGGATGTCTATCATCACTGCTTCTGTTCAACAACATAATCAAATCAATCAGCCAGAGCAAAAAGGCGAGAAAGAAAAAAAAGGGAAATGTACAGGAAAAAGTCAAATGATCATTATTTGTAGATGGATGACATGATCCTCACATAGAAGACCCCTAAATTTCCAAGAGTCCTAGAATTAATTAATTAATGTGGTATGATATAAAAATCAACATAGAAAAATTAAGTTTTCCTATATTCCAATAAGGAGTTCCCTGAGAAAGACATTTGAAAAACAGTACCATTCACAAGAAAAATTAAACACTCGGAATTAAACCTGACCAAGGAAGAGAAAGAACTCTGCCACAAAAACTAAAATACTCTGAAAAAGGAGAAGACATCAGAAAATGGAAAGATATCCTATTTCTGGATAGGTAGAACCAATATTGTCAAAATGTCCATACTTCCGAAACTGAAACACAGGTTTAATGCAATTTCAGTCAAAACACCAATAACATTACTCACAGAATTACCCAG